ATCCTGGGAACTACAGGCCAGTCAGCCTCACCTCAGTCCCCGGAAAAATCATGGAGCAGGTCCTCAAGGAAACAATCCTGAAGCACTTACACGAGAGGAAAGTGATCAGGAACAGTCAGCATGGATTCACCAAGGGAAGGTCATGCCTGACTAATCTAATCACCTTCTACGATGAGATTACTGGTTCTGTGGATGAAGGGAAAGCAGTGGATGTACTGTTTCTTGACTTTAGCAAAGCTTTTGACATGGTCTCCTACAGTATTCTTGTCAGCAAGTTAAAGAAGTATGGGCTGGATGAATGCACTATAAGGTGGGTAGAAAGTTGGCTAGATTGTCGGGCTCAACAGGTAGTGATCAATGGCTCCATGTCTAGATGGCAGCCGGTATCAAGTGGAGTGCCCCAAGGGTCGGTCCTGGGGCCGGTTTTGTTCAATATCTTCATAAATGATCTGGAGGATGGTGTGGATTGCACTCTCAGCAAATTTGCGGATGATACTAAACTGGGAGGAGTGGTAGATACGCTGGAGGATAGGGATAAGATACAGAGGGACCTAGACAAATTGGAGGATTGGGCCAAAAGAAATCTGATGAGGTTCAACAAGGATAAGTGCAGGGTCCTGCACTTAGGATGGAAGAATCCAATGCACCGCTACAGACTAGGGACCAAATGGCTAGGCAGCAGTTCTGCGGAAAAGGACCTAGGGGTGACAGTGGACGAGAAGCTAGATATGAGTCAACAGTGTGCCCTTGTTGCCAAGAAGGCCAATGGCATTTTGGGATGTATATGTAGGGGCATAGCCAGCAGATCGAGGGACGTGATCGTTCCCCTCTGTTGGAAATTGGTGAGGCCTCATCTGGAGTACTGTGTCCAGTTTTGGGCCCCGCACTATAAGAAGGATGTGGATAAATTGGAGAGAGTCCAGCGAAGGGCAACAAAAATGATTAGGGGTCTGGAACACATGACTTATGAGGAGAGGCTGAGGGAACTGGGATTGTTTAGTCTGCAGAAGAGAAGAATGAGGGGGGATTTGATAGCTGCTTTCAACTACCTGAGAGGTGGTTCCAAAGAGGATGGATCTAGACTATTCTCAGTGGTAGAAGAGGACAGGACAAGGAGTAATGGTCTCAAGTTGCAGTGGGGGAGGTTTAGGTTGGATATTAGGAAAAACTTTTTCACTAGGAGGGTGGTGAAACACTGGAATGCGTTACCTAGGGAGGTGGTAGAATCTCCTTTCTTAGAAGTTTTTAAGGTCAGGCTTGACAAAACTCTGGCTGGGATGATTTAATTGGGGATTGGTCCTGCTTTGAGCAGGGGGTTGGACTAGATGACCTCCTGAGGTCTCTTCCAACCCTGATATTCTATGATTCTATTGTTCCTTTCTTCACCTCCTCCCTTGCCACTTTAAAACAACCCCCACTCAAAATGTCGGTCATCAACATTTCTAAAAAAATCATAACCACAGTCACCTTGTCCCTCCTGCTAAGTACCATGCAGGGTTTCCCCAACCCCATTTTATTTTTGTTTGGAATTTTATTACATTGTTGGGATTATTTTGTGCTATCATTAAATTATTGAACAGTGTCCCCAGCACCTTGGCAGGTGGGTATTGTCCAAAATCAATGATTATTATTAGTCGTGTAACAGCAGAAATAATCCTTTTTGTAAAGCAAACAAAATGTAAGAGAAGAAAAATTGAAGACACTGACTACCAATCATCAGGATTAGCACACACCTGGAAACAAATGACATTGTAAGATAAACTGTGTAATACCATGAAATCTAACATTTGAGACTAATAGGTTCAATTATTAACTGCACCATGAGAGTGAGGCATTAATGAAATAAAAACAAATGTGGATGTAACAAGAAGATAGAAAGAAATAATCAGATTAATGTGGGAAACCCCCCCGAAGTATTCCTTTTTACAATTTTTTTCTCACACTACTTTCCTTCCTCAAATAGTATTTTCTAGTACCAGGATTCCTGTCCAGATTTCACTCATGTTCTGTCTAGCGTTCCATATTATACCTTTATTTACCTTCTAGTTTATAATTAAGTATAATTCATTATGTCCAGCAAAAAAACAACAAACAAACAAAAACAGGCAAGCTCCTTTACAGCTCTGCCTCCCTGATGGCTCTGTCAATTCTGAAAAAAGGCTTGTAATTAATCACTTTGTTCATTATATTTGTGACTAAACTATTATAGCAGTGGAATCCTCAGGAATGTTCACCATACATTCAGTGATTACAGATGGACTTTCAATAACATCTAGTTTACCTCCTGACTCCTTTACCGTTCTGTTGCATATTCTTAACAGGTGTTGCTTCCCCAGAATGCAGAATCTTTATTTCATCTTCAACTTGCCCTTTACGTATCAAACACACTCACTGCAAATACACAGGTGATAACACACTACCCCATTTTGCATGCACAGAGCTTGCATGCTGTCTTAGTGTCCTTCAGCCCAATGTCCATTTGTGTGCATGCAACTTTGCATCTGTTGATACAGCAGGTTTTTTCTATCACCATACTATTGAAATACTTTCAGTTACCTCCTCTCCTTCCTTCCAAAACTATCTGGATATTTTTCATGCTGTGGACATGTCAAGCAATGACACGACAATGGCCTGCCACAGACAACATAGATTCCAACTGAAGTTACAATGAATGAAGCAGGCAGTAAGCAACTGGATGGTGCTGGTATCTGGGAATCTCAGCACAGGTGAGGCAGAGTCAGAACTGGAAGGATGGTCTTGTGGGTCAGGCACTGGACTGGAGATTTGTGTTTAGTTAGTGGCTCTGTCACAGACTTCCAGTGTGACATAGGCAAGTCACATATCTCGGTGCCTCAGCTCCAACTCTGTAAAATGGGGATAATTACACCTCTCCCTCACAGGGGTATTGCGAGAATAAGTTCAGATAGTATGGCAATGGGAGCCATAAACATACCCAGCTTGACAGTTAATTTGAGAAGCCTTAGTCAGGGCAGAGTGAGGTGAAGCATATGATAGCCTCATATGCGAATAACACGGCTGAGCTGTCTGGCAGAGGCAACTATCAGACTTGATCTATGCAGCCTGAACTTTTCAATTAGGCCATAGATGAGCAAACCCCATAAGTGAGTTAGAACTGTGGTGATTTAATATAAAGTTAATAAACCGAGCCTGTGCTGTAGCACGACTCAAGACATCAAAATATTGGTAGGGGGCTGAGCCAGGGAGGCCTCTGTGCTCCAGTGGGAAAACAAAGTGACAGTTGGTATCACTGTGGCACGAAGCTGCTGGCCTTCCAGAGGAACATTCCACAAGCCTTGCTTTGGTTGACCGGGTACTAAGCAGGCGAATAATATTTGGATGGAATGAACTGAACCAGAGGCAGGACTCACTTGGAATCTCCATCCCCTCTCAACTCATGCTTGGCTGATGGCCAATCTATTATAATGCCACCAGCAATAACTGCGTTCACCCCAGTAGGCTTCTATCACTGACTCCACCTGTATGAGGTTAATGAGTGCCCATTCTGGTCGCATGCTGAGCAACCCCAATATGTACAAGCTGCAGGCTTGAAGGTACTGGAAAGATAACCACTAGTCACCTGGACAGCAAACCGTCTATAAGCAGACTGCCACTAAATGCTGTGCATGATAAATGTTTATACCAGACAAATATTATGCAGGCTCACAGCTTTGCAAGGTGGAGAGCACCCCCTGCAAGCTGCTGAGTGCCTCCTGACAGATGCTGAGTTCCCAGGCTGAGGAGACACTGAAATGGGGAGCAAGGGAGCAGAACTGAATTAGCTGGAGGAGGGAAGCAGAGAATAGATGATGGGGACAAGGGAAGTCACCAGTTTTTCTCCCTCTGGGACCTGGTCTCACACTTTGTGATCCTGTTTTCCCAGTTCAGCGCAGCTGAGATAGAAGTTTGATATGGAGTTGGGGGCAGTGATGAGAGCCCTGGCCCAAGCAGCAGCAGTCACCGGGGGCTAGGGGTGCGGAGGGAGGAGAGGAGGCAGAAGGCGGGGCATCCTAATTTACCAGCTGACTTTCTAAATTAAACTGAATACCATTAATATTAATCGTTGTCTACATACGTCCAGTGACTGCAGTGAGAGTCCTACACATAAAAACCAAAGCCCATCACAGCGCCGCATGAAACCACAGAGGAGAATGAATTAAAAGCAACATAAGCTAAAGTTTGATATTACTAAGCCAAGGCTTTCATGGACTCCTGGGGAGTTTTGCCTGAGCAAGGCTGGCTGGCTTTGGCTTATGGAGATTAAAGAAGAGAAAGAGGAACTTATGGGCTGGTGACAGAAGTTGAAAGGACTCAATAAACCACTTTGCCTACTTCCATGATGCTGTCACTCTTTGCCTTTGTGTACAGGATTGCTACTTTGTGTTGCTAGGCAACAATACTTCAACCCTCTTGGCCTGCCCTTGGAGACATCCAGGCAAGAAAAACCAATCAGACAGCTGTAGCTGCTGAATCAGGCAGCCTGCAAATCCCACTTTGGCGTTTGCAAGCATAAAGAGGGGGTTTCCTTCTGTTCGTATTTGAAAATTCAAGTGTATGTTGATGTTTTCTGATTCTCTACCTAGAGCTGGGAGTGTCCCGGCCAGCATGCATTGTTGATGAGGACAATTACCATACAGAGAATGCACCTGTCCAGAAGTGTAGATGTACCAGTGGGAGAGGTATGTGCCCATTTTGAATTGGTGAGTACAGTCGTGTGTATGTAAAGCACTTTCTAGTCCTTGGCCTTTCTTGGGAAAGAAGGAATTTATCCTGGGGGGGCGGGGAGGGGAAATCCTGTGAAAAGGATTTCATTCCCAGCTGATGATGGAGGACACACAACAGGGGTTGAGAGCATAAGGGTTGGAAGCCTTCTTTGTTTCATACCAGATTCATAGAGATGTCATGATTTGTAAGATGCTGAATTCAACTGCATTTCAACTGGCAGAGTAAGAAAAGGGAGGGGTTTTTGGTAAGTCTCTCTCTACTATTGTCCTTATGCCAATACATAAATATTTAGTATGCACCTGTCCAATACATCGTTTGTCCATTGTACAATGGCTTTTACAATATTAATTCCAACATAATGCAGCTATTGCTAGATTTGATGTCACAAAAACTCTTTTGTTCAAAGAAAATCAGTTATCTGAGCTAGCTTGGATGCATCCTTGGAAGATATGCTTTAGTCAAACACAAGTTGTTGGGACCAATATGGGGTAACAGGGTCAAATTTGATAGCCTTTGATATACAGGATGTCAGACTACTAGATGATCTGATGGTCCCTTATGGTCTTGAAATCAATTAGCCAGGAAAGCTGGGTGAATAATGGATTTTTTGATTCAGTGGCAATTTCAAAAAGTTTAAAAAATTCATTTTGGGTCTCACCAAAATAAAAAAAAATAATAAAAAAATTGGACAAATTGAGAAGTAAAAAGAAAAAAAATTGTTTGGGTCAAATGAAACATTTCATTTGGACCAAACCAAAATATGCTATTTCAATTTTGACCATTTTAAAATGTTTTAGAATTTTAAAAACAACATTAAAGAACTTTTTGAAACAAAACCATTTCCAATTGAAACGTTCAATTTCAAAAATGAAATTTTAAAGCTGGACACCTGCGCAGCGGTGGCCATTGCAATATCATCAGCATCCAGTTATTCGTTACGGCAGCACGAGTACTTTTATTTAAAATACAAGGAAATACATTAGCCTCTCAGAGACCACTGTGTGAGAGCTGTGGGCAGTTGTTAACTTTGAATGGAAACTACTACCAGTGCACTGGGCAACAATGATTGCAAGTAGATGGAGCTTAAAATTATGATGTTTTCATAACTTGCAAAAGAAAATTGGGCAACTCAGGCAAATTCATCTGAATGAAAGGACATTTGTATAGTGATTCACACAGCCATAGGAAAAAAAGTAGTCAAATTTGTGTTCACGCATTTAGGTGATCACTTGATGATAGTTCTCCTCCAGTTGTGCTTAAATTGTGTTCCTTGTATCTGAAATCTTTTTATTGTTTTTGCGCTCCATATACACTAGGTACTGAGTTTCCAAGGTATTTGGTGTTGATATTTATGTTTAGGCTTGCAAAGCACTTGTCTTTCTAGTCAACTTCCCTCTGAGTGTAAATGGCACGAAAGGTTTTCCATTGACGCAACCTGACATGAGCAAGCCACTGTCAACAGCTTTATTGTTTAGGTAGTGTTAGCAGCCAGTAATGAGTAATTTACAATGTGTTAGTTCAGACTCCATTGTGACAGCATTTACTGTACTCAGTAGTCATATAATACAGTGCCTTTCAATGAAGGGTTGCTAGTTGCACTACTGATCAGTGCATCACACACACACGCAACTTACTGCAACATTTAAACTATGACTCAGAGATGTCAAGCTTGGTCAATTTAGTTAAATGTTATTTGGAATTTAGTATTCCTTGTCAGGGAAGCTGAGTCAGAGCCTAGAAAATTTGCAGCACAAATGTTTCTTTCCAGGGCTTTTAAAATGGATGATTAATAGGTATCTACCAAGGCGATTTTATAAGAGAGAATGGAACTTTAGGGAAGAAGATGGAGGCAAAGACAATAACTAACATGTACTTACATTACTGGAGGCTGCCATGGCAATGTGTGTTCTGCCTCAGCAGTGTCCACCACACTCCTGGGACCTTAAAGAGAATAGAAAATAGTCACTGGTGGGCTGCTTTTCCATATACCCAAGTAAATCTACTTACATCACTAGGGTGCTTTAGTACCCACATGGTTCCCCTCAATCCCACCTCCCAAGAGTGGTACATCCCCTGAGGACTCTGCCTTATGTGTGGGAGAGAGATGGGGAGGAGGAATTCCTGAGTTACCTGAAGGGGCTCAGGGGGTGTCCTCAATCCAAACCTGGACCTGGCTGACTTCCATCTCTGGCTCAAACACAAGAGAGAAAGAAGTTATAAGTTCAGCTGCAAAACAACAGAAAAAATATTCATTTATTTATTAACTACTTTGTTTTACTATAAATAGTATTGAGTAATGGATTAGAAATCATGAAATGAAGAAATTCAGCCCTAGTTCATGGGTGCTCAATAGTCTCTGCTCCTGCTGGACAGTGATTCTCCTTGTCCTCTTTCAACAGGGATCACACTATTCTTCACCTTCCCGCCACTTCCCCCAAGTCCCTCCCGCGTGTACACAGCCATTTCCCTCTATGCAGGGTCCAGCCCTTGGGCCCTCCCATGACGCACCTGGCTGTCTCAAAGCAGTAAAGTGCTGCTTCGCTGCTTCCCAGGGCCACTTCCTATGATGTCTGTCTCTTGTTAGGCCCTTCTCCTCAGCCTTTTGCCATCAATCCTCTGCTGAAACCCTCCTGGGTTTTGTTCCCAGTTCCCTGTCAGGGGCACCACCTCCAGCCTCGGTTCAGATGCCTGGTCACTGGAGAGCACCACTGCTGTCCCCAGATCTCTCCCAGCCACTGCCCTGCCTGTCAGCTTTCTCCCTTGTCTGAACAGCACAATCTGCCTTTTAACCTGGCTCCTTCTTCCCAGCAGGCCTGGCTCCAGTCCCACGGTTTGGGCGGCACGTCAAACCTAGATGGGAACTGGTCCTGAGTTCTTCCTAAAGTCCTAACTTGTCCTGTGCACGTGGCTCATGACTCATGCACCACTGCAGATAGCACCAGACCATTCATACCTGTTTCAAGTGGCAACAATGAAATTTCTCTAAGGTAGACAAGGGTTAAAGCTCACAAAAGAAAGATACTTAGTGTGTTGAGCTGACAGTGCCAGCTGACCACAGCACAAGGCTCAGGGAACCAATACATATACATCAGGCAAGAATGTCACTGAATGCTGGAGTAGGGTGGGAAATGATTTTCCCATCCTGCAGAATTTTTTGAGGTTTTGAAATTTTTTCCCATTCTGAATCAGGACAAAAAGTCAAAATCTTGAATATGTTGGTCGACTGAAAAATCTGAAAAAAATTTCAAATCAGGTCAATTGAAACATTTCATTTCAACTGTGCCTTTTCTTTTCAATTGAAAAAGATAGAACTTTTCAACAATTTAATTTTTTTGTTCAAAAATATTTCAAAAAAGGACATTTGTGAAGCCAACCATTTTCGGTGAAAAGTTTCAGTTTTGACAAATTGCCATGTCCCCATAAATATTCTATCACAGGAAAGGGGGGTGAGGGAATGCTGTGAGGTATACACACATCCTGGGTTTCTATGGAGATTTAGAATGTATGGCATTTACATTCTGGGGATTGTTTCAAAAGTTGGGAGTTTAAACCTCAGGAGGAGAGATTCTCAACCTCAAAAAATATACCAAGATGTCAGTCTGAAAACAGGTTGAGCAGAGGACTGACCGCTGTATCGCGGATGTGCATGTCTTGGGCAATGTCAGACCTGTGCAGATACTAAGGCTTTGTCTACACTGGCAAGTGAACGACAAAACTTTTGTCATTCAGGGGTGTTAAAAAAACCCCACACACTGAAAGACACCTTTTAGTGGCACAGCTGTAGCGGCACGGCTCTGTCACTAAAAGCGGCATAGCGTAGACAAAGCCTAAGGGTTGTGATTAGGAAAATTCCTTTCTTCTTTTATTTTCTAATGTTGTTACATTCCAAGGGTAAAATTTAATGTCCGTCCCTGGAGACCCCATCCTGGGGGATTTCAGAGTGTGGAGTGGTAAAATAGGCAAGTTCATGCTGATCTTAAGGGCATGGATTTCAATGGCAGAGATGATGCCTTGTGGAACTATTCTCCCCCTAACTGCAGTCTTGTCCCCTTTCTAGACATAGAGGAACTTCTGCAGCAGGTTTTGGGGAAGGGCAGAGCACTGACACAGAAGCAGCAATACCCCCCCCAAGGCAGATATCCGCTGGGATTTTGTGTCCTCCACAGACAGCAGGGGCAACAGAGCCTTCAAGTTGTACCCCATTTCTTTAGATTGAGAATTAATTGGTATGTGTGGGTGTGGCGGGAGGGTGGGAAGTCTTATTTAAAAGTTAATAATTCTGTGTTAAAGCTGCTACTTTCCCCAGGAAACTAGAAGAATTAAAATGCATTTCCAACTCAGAGGAGCTGACATGCACCATCTGCGGTACATATTCTGAAATGGTGCATCATTTAGAGATTACATGAATTCCTATTGGAGATTATTTACAAACCCCAGGGAGTATTAACTCCTCTGCCGGAGGGAAATGGAGAGAAGGAACAGTGTATGGAGCTCTTCAGGAAGGAGGAAAAGTTTCACTGGTAACAGCAAAGTATTAGGTAGACCAGCCAGGTGATACCAGGACTTTAGGCTGAGATCCAAAGCCCACTGAAGCCAATGGAGTCTTTCCAGTGACTTCACTGGGCTTTGGATCAGGTCCTAAGATTTTGTCTACAATGGGGTTTTTCTCAGACAAGGGTTAGGTTAAAACATGGTTGTAAAATGTCTGGTCCTTGTCTAAATGGCAACTGTTGGGAATTATGGGTCATAAATTACTAGTGTAGACAAGGTCTAATAGGAGAAGTTATTATCATTGGACTGAACAAAGGCATTGTAAAATAATAGATATCTGTGCATTACAAAAGCATTAGTCTACTACGCCAGCCCAATACCGCTAAGATTGGCCAAGTTAAATTAAAAAGCAAAGCAAAAGAAAATATATGAACATTCAATTTTATAGAGACAGCCATGTGTCATGCTGCCTTAAAGTTTTCTGAAACTAAGATCATTGTACATGAGGCTCATACAATTGCTCCTTCAGCAGTAAATAAATCTTTGGACTCCATTTTTCAATTGCAATTTGCTCATTCATGGTAGAAAGAACCATGGGAAAGAGAGGAGGCTTTGGGTGTGCCAAGACATATGTGATGCATTTCAGCTCAATTCATGACAGTCATTTATTTACCTTCTGATCATTCTTTTTCAGAAAATAAGGCCCACACAATGGCATATGACCATGATGCAGAAGACATCCTGAAGCCTCTGGTCTTCCGTCTCCATGAGAGCGTTCCTGAAGCAGTCCGTGAGGTCTTACTGGAACGTGGTTGGAGTGAATTTGATGAACAAGAGCAAGATGAAGCAGACTGGAATCTGTACTGGCAGAACTCCCCTTTCCGTATGACTGACCACCGTAGCATTAAACCATGGCAGAGGCTCAATCACTATCCAGAAACAGTCAGGATCACAAGGAAAGACTATCTGGCAAGGCATCTGAAACGCATGAAGGGAATTTATGGACCATCTCTTTACGAGTTTAGTCCAATGGCATTCATCATGCCTAACGACTATGTCAAGTTTATAGCAGAATACACTAAGGAGAGACAGTCACAGGGCAGAAAGCCAAGCTACTGGATTTGCAAGCCTGTGGGTCTATCTCGTGGAAGGGGCATTCTCATTTTCCAGGACATTAAAAACTTTGTATATGATTGCATGGTCATTGTGCAGAAGTACATTAGTAACCCTTTGCTTATTTCTGGGTACAAATGGGATCTCCGCCTCTATGTCTGTGTCACCAGTTTTTGCCCCCTTACCATTTACACTTATGAAGAAGGGCTAGTGAGGTTTGCCACTGAAAAGTTTGACCTTAGTTCTCTGGACAACGTCTATGCCCATCTGACAAACACCAGCATCAATAAATTTGGCGCCTCGTACAAAAAAAATAAAGAAGGGATCGGCCGTGGCTGCAAATGGACATTCAGCAAATTCCGTTCTTACCTACGCAGCCATGAGGTGGACGACCTGCTTCTGTGGCGGAGAATACACAACATTGTAATGCTGACCCTGCTCGCTATAACCCCTTCTGTTCCACTGACGTCCAATTGCTTTGAGCTCTTTGGGTTCGACATTCTGATCGATGACACATTCAAACCATGGCTTTTAGAAGTAAACTACAGCCCAGCCTTGCGCCTAGACTGTTCCATCGACAGAACAGTGAAAAAAAGACTTCTCCATGACATCATTGAATTGCTAAATTATAAGCAAACTGACACCTTGAGAGAAAACAAAGGGGCTGGCACTAAAGCTTCCTATGCTGGTAGAACACACATCCCCTTGACAGCACAGGGTGAAAATGCAACAGATGGTGCTCCTGATTTCCTTGCTTCTAGGCAAGAAAGTGAATGCACTGCCACTTCTGCAGTGCAGTCTCTCTTGGCGGTTACAGGAGGTGCGTTTAAGAAGGAGGCCATAGTGATGGAGAGAATGGCCAGAACACATCCAAGGAAAACACTAACCTCACAGCTCCGGGAAAGGATGAACAGGCCGAAAACATCTTCGCAATCAAAGGCAGTGTCTAAAAGCAACCAGCTCTCAGGAGCTAGACACCCTGCACATGCATCTGTCCAAGTCACCCATCGGTTGCCTACCACTGAGTTATGTAACTACAAATTAACTATTCCTCCATATTTTCTCTCCACTAAAGACAAAAGGCCCTTCCCTCGAGTAGGTGATTTTGTCCTTATATTTCCTTTCAACGATGCTGCACTTGAAGCCTCCAGAAATGGAATAGATGTAAAAAGCATCATACAAGAAATACACAAGTTAATGAACAAACAGTTGCCCCCAGGACAGCAGAGAGTAAAGAAGAGAAAAGATTATTTAACTTTTAGATAACTCAGTAGATGTTAGGATATAAGCTGCCACACAATGAAAGAGGAAGACAATAACCAGATATGAATGGTGCTGGGCTATTGACCCATCTTAGCTGGTGGTTTAGTTTGAAGATGGTGGGTATGTGCGGAAGTCATCTCAGAAATAGGGATCTTGCAAAACCACACACAATTTGAAAATGTCTCTTGTAATTTAACAATGACCCTGGGAAATTATTTTTTTAAATTAAATACTGAATTGCATAATTAATTTATACAGTATTCTTCTGCCTCTGAAATAGTCTCAAAATGAAAATATAAAATTGCATATTCTTTCAAAAGCTTTAACAATGTCAATCTTTGCTTTTGTTTATGAGTCATTTATTAATTCCTACCCTTCATTGTCAATGGCTTTTCTTTTCCTGCCTGGGAGGCTTTATAACTATAAAATGTTGGTTAGTTTACCCCTTGCAGCATGCAACTTGGATATCCATGTCCCATAGTTTACAGTGTTATTAATAGTCATAAAACTATCAAGTCTCTTTAAGAATTCAGTACATGATCTCATACACTGAGCTTCTGGGCAGTCACTGCTGCAACCTGATTACATGCTGCGTGAAGAAATACCATCCAAATAGAATTACATTCATTTGATTGAAAACTGGGTTTCTGCAGAAATTCTTATGAAATGTAATTTCAAAAATATCCTACATGCTGTTCCAGACTGGTTTTCAAACCCACTGCTCAAACACTAAACAAAGAATCCCGAACAGTCTTGGTGAGGTAGAAAATATTATAATTACCAGAGCAACAGAGGAATTTAATATTGGAGCTGCGTTGAGACCTCGAACTGCCATTTTTGAATCACCAGATAAAACCTCTCCCACCGACACAGTACATTATCTGCCTGTTGGGGCCTTACTAATGTTAAACAGTTACTCAGCTTTGTTATGCCATAATTATGGGGCCTTACATCAGATTGCTGGTTTAACACTTTTTGCACAATAAAGTGAGTAGGGAGAAACCCCACCACCAACACTGAATTGAAATATTTGTCTGACTCCCTGTCCAAACCATCTGAGCTCCTCGTGCATCTCTACTGCCACCAATTGTCCGTCTGGCAAAAACTGCACCTGCTATGGTCTACAGAAGTACATTCTCATTTTGTTCCAAACATGAGGCAAAATTCTAATTGCCATGGGCTTAGTCTGATGCCAGAAAATCTGTGGGTAACAAAGAATTGAGGTGTTGCAACTGTATTCTATCTCCCTGCAAAGTCACCCCTTACAGCTTCTATAATAAGAAACACAGAGGGATGTTTTGGGGCCGGCATGGTCTGTGTGTTTAGGGAGGGTAAGACTCTGATCCTGCAGAAGGGAGTATGCAGCCACTCATATATAGGTTATCTGTGTTCTTAGAAAGAATCATCTGTGGCTGGGAAAGGCCATTGTCAGTCAGAATAAAGGGCAGAGGGGTTTTGCAGCATGAAGGATTAGAGAAGAGAGGAGTGTGAGGAAGAGGTAGGGAGCTGTCTTTTTGTATTAAGAATAACCAGATCAGGGCTCATTTTTACTATGTTTTTATTTCCATTGAAGGGGTTCTGGTTACGGCATGAGCTAAATAGCTCTTGTGATTTATGCCATCACCTTCTCCCTCTCTCTGAGAGCAAACTAGTCTTGTGCTATTTGTTTTGATGGTTCCTTTGCTTTTATACTATTCAGCATCTCCTGAGGTTTGCTTTCTAGCATGCCAGGTCCGACAAGACAACAAAATTACCATTAAATACTCATTACTAATCTCATCTCAAATGGTTATACTATGGGCAAGTGCAGCCGCAAAGGGTTCTACTAGCTAGGCTCTGGTTTGCCACTACCCCAGGCAGTATGGTGCCAGGCTCCTGGGGGAGCTAGCAAAATGATTTGGGCTGTGGTATCATTAACATGCACAGGACATGCAGCTCTAAATCTCATTTTCGTCAGAACCAGATGGTGCAGTGTTCACTTTCCTAGTGCCTGGCCAGGACAGGGACGTAGAGCGAGTTGCCTGAGACTCAATCTAGACGAGACATAGGTGATACTAGTGGGTTGGAACCTAGGGGATACAACAGAAGTAGTTCCTGCCCCTGTGCCTGAAAGAGATTTTGCTCATCTTTTCTCCAAGATGTTTGCAATTTGGGGGTGCTACTGGTGAAGTTGTTGGCCCAGAGAACCTTTTTTACCTGCATATGGTAAGTAGTGCTTAAATTATGTGGAAAAATAGGGGGTGGCTTTAATGTAAACATTAGTGAGAAGTAAGGGGGGGGTCATAAGACAGAAGTGAGGTAACCACTAAAAGTAGTATATGGGGGCCTGCCCCTCCCTCCCCAGCCCCGCCATAATTCAAGCACAGCTGGTAAGACATTTGTGACATTTTACTTTGGATCAAGAGCCTGCCAAGGAAATCCATACTTTTGTAACTTTTAGTTGGGATTACTGCAATGTATTTTGCATCTACATGAACCTATACATGAAGGTCATGTGGAAGGTAATGGACAAGGCAACTATATCACTGTTAGATGGGTATTACTCACAGGAAATATTTTACACCAGTTCTTTGATGACTTTACCGTTCGCACTTTTACTTCTGGGTTCAATTCAAGCTCCCGACTTTGATGTGTAAAGCCCTACAGTACATAGTTTACATTAGAGCCTGGTTACTTGAGAAGTTGCCTCTCCTCCTGTACCACAGTGCAAATGTATTTATTTCACTTACAGAGAGCACTATCACCCTAGGCACATTTAAATAAGAACAATCATATAACAGTACAATGCCTCCAGCATCTAATAGTAGCCAACACAAACAATCCCAAAAAACACCCTCAGAGAAAGCCTCGGTAAGCAGCTCTTACAATGTTCCCTGAAAGGCAACTGATTCAGGCTGTCAGACCTCTCCGCTGGGAATGCTCTGCAACGCTTCTTATATGGGCCTGCCCAGCCCTGATTGGCTGCTCCTCACAGCCCTTCTCTGATTGGCTGCCTCCTGCACAGCCTCCCTGGGGCTCTATTAACCCCTTAGAGCCCAGTGTGGGGCAGGCACCCCATCACAGGATTATAATTAATGGTGTAAACAAGCAGATTTCTAGATACTTAATCATGATTTAAGAGTAAAAGTGACAAACAAAAACCACCAAACATTTCCTGAATACCTGTAAATGAGCACAAACAAGCTGCTTCATTGACAAATAAACTTTTTTAAAAACAGGATGCTTAGGAATTAACTTGATGTTTCTCATTGGCAGATGCAAACACGATGTCTATTTTTTCCTAACCTGACTGAATGCAGTTTTCAATGACAGCTTTGCTGCGATGGTTATTTGGGACAAACCATGTAGCCTTGTTTCAGCCTTTATGTAGCAGCAAGAAGTATTACCCTGTAACAAAGGACATGGAATAGAATGGTCTCTTTCAAAGATCTTTTTGGACTTCTTTAATAAGCTGCCTTTCACAATCTACGTAGAAATAGATTAAAGATTACAATAGTGAAAAGCACACCATTCTAAATAGTTTATTTTACACATAGGGAGTAAAAGGAATAAAAATACAACTATGTTATCACACCCGAATTACATTAAAATGTATTCATCATCAAATGCTTCGAAAAGAGTAATTACATTTATACACACTGTAGTTTGTGATCAATATTAATGGGAAATAACTAGTTTCATACACTTTCTGTCTAGTCAGAATACGTCTCCCAGACTGCACAGTAATTTGTTTGTATTCTGAGTTGCAAGAAACAAAACAGAAAAATGAACAATTGCATAATCTTGCAATTATTTTATACTTGCATGTGAGGAAAGAATAAAGGTAGATTGCTAGGAGAGTCTGCAGGAGTTTACACATGTATTTTGGGTGCTGGAGTCAAAAGAAATTACATAATGCTAGAGAGAGAGAGAGAGAATCAACAAGAAATATTTGTAAAATTAAAGACATTGGTCCAGATCTTCATGGAGTGTAAATCAATATGTCTCTATTGAAGACTGAAGAGCTGGACCTGGTCTTTAGATTTTTACTTAATAAACTGCATTCACGTTAATGATTTTGTTTAAGGCAGCATGTCTGAGTGGATCTACCATGCTGAATAATAAAAACAATATTTTTTACATTTATATGGTGTCGTTCCAAAGGATCTCAAAGTGCCTTACAGCTGTGGGGCATACATACAACACCACTGAAGTGCAGCCACTTCTGGGATAGACAGAGGAGCCAACTAGCACCCGAGTAAAGGGAAGGGAAATTTTGGGCAAAGTCACCAGGCAAACACTTGGTGGAAAGGAAAGTACCATGGGTTGGTTAATGTATATTCAGGGCAGACATGAGTGCAGTTTTAGAAGCCTTATTCAAGAAGCACCCACCCAGAAAGCTGTAGTTTAACTAAAATTCAGTGAATGCAAGTAAAATTCAATCCCACATATCTACTTGGAATGTGAACTTATGGTCCACGGGAACCTAGGCATGTCATATCATATGCTTAGTCTCCTAGTCCATCCCCTTCTTCCTTACACCTGGTGTGAAGAAATGAAATGTTCTCCACACAGCAATTTCTGTTTTTTCTGGAGATGCATGGCATTCATTTATGATTTTAGAGAACACAACTCTTTATGAGCCTGATCCTTAGTTGACTTTGAGAGGAGTTGTAGGTGCTCAGCACCACTCACAGTCAGGCCCTAATTCTTTCAAGGAACAGAAAGGCAGGCAAAGGGACAAGGAAGAAAACAAATCAGACTTGTGCACTTCCAGGGGATACATATCTACACTGTAAAATAATAACCAATCTCAACCAGAAACTGGCTTGAATGACCTACATACAACATTGCGTCTAGAGCAGATGAATCACTTCTTATTGAGGATGATGTTGCCCTCTTCGTCTTTGATTCGAACCCGGCCAGAGGAATACTTTGTTTCCTGTTGGCCACTGGAGTACACAGTCTTTACAGTGCCATCGGGGTACTCCCTTCTCTTGAACTGTGACGTGTGAATTTCCTTCTGCCCATTACTGAACATCACCATTTTATCGCCATTCCTGAAAAAAAAGACAATTGATAAAGTATTCAACCATGTACAAAAGCCCAGATTCCCCATGGGTGTATAGTATATCCTGACCAGGAGCGGTGGGAGCTCCCTAAAATTGGGCGGGGGGGCCACTGGCACCTGAACCGTGCCCTGCCCCTCCGTGACACCCCTCCCCCCCGAGGCCCTGCCCCCATGCCACCCCTTTTCCCTGAGCCTTCACCCTCGCACGGCCCCTTCCCCAAGGCCCTGCTCCTGCACCGCCTCTTCCCACCGAGACACCCCCACCTGTGCTCGCTCCTCTCCACCCCTCCTCCTGTTGCTTGCTCTTACGGTTGGTAAAAAGTGATAGGGCCAGGACCCCTTGGTCCCCCATGTTCTGGTGCCCCTGATCCTGACAGACTCCAGCAATGGATAATACACCGTGGGGAGATATACAGTATAATAGCTGGCTTCAGAAACCAATGCTGAGGGCCAGGGCTGCCTCCAAAGTGGCCAGCACTCGACAGGGAAGGGGCGTGGATATACTCAATCAACTCACTCCAAGAGCTGCTTCTAACAGTGGGGCTTTGATGGAGTCCCAGCCATAACTTAAAACTGCTCCCTGCAGGGGAAAGCTATGAGGGAGGTGAAGCTACAACTATGCTGCTTGAAATGAATCCTCCCTATGGTGGATGGGCCCAGGCTGGTGCAAGGACACACAAATGACATCTCCTTGTGTCCACATGGGTGAAAGTAGCCCTAATGTTATATACACTGCTGCAGGAGATGGACAGGGTGCACAGAAATGCATCACTGAGACTAAACGTTCTTATGAATATATCTGATTTGCAGCAGTGGGAGTGGAATATAACACATCAGATGGAAGCTTTCCCCTACAAGTTTCAGCACAGCTCTGATCTTCAACCACTCAAATGTAACAGTGTTTACAGAAGGACTGCAGTTTTCAGCAGTTCTCACAATGTGGCCTTCATCACAGAGATGCATCAGTACATAAAATTAACTCAAATAGTAATGAACAACATAATCTGCACTTACAGTGCACTCTCCATCCAAGGATCTTAAAGCACTTTACAAACAGTGGTTCTCACAATACCTCTGTGAAGAATGCGGTGATAAGTATTATTATTGCTCATTTTTCGCTGAGGCACAGGGAGGTGTTACTTGCAGTGACTTGCCCCAGGAGAGAGAGTCGGCAACAGAGGTAAGTATAGAGGCCAGGAGTCCAGATCTTCAGTCCCCTGCTCTATGCACTAACCCAATGCACCTGACCCTCTGGTGCCTTGCCCCTTGCGTAATAAGTTATTACAGCTGAACAAAGTGAGTGTAAAGTGCTACTAAATCAAATCACACCTACTGTATCCAGCTGCAAATGGCTACACAAGATGCAAGGCAGTGAAGAATCATCCCCAATGCCTCGCTCTGGTAAAAACTTTCCTCCATTCGTACTCCAAATCCTTTCTCTTTTCAATTCTTCTGAAACCTCTGAACAAACTGGTATGTACTGAAAACAAAACAACCCTCTAGTTTGTAAAAATGAACCTTGTAAGACACAAACTAAAGCTTTAACCTTCTGCCCTCCCACCAGGAGAACCGGTATAGATCTGCTCAGTGCCCCAGCCATGTCACCTCACAGGATACTTACTTTTCTACTTTTACTACTGTGCCATCTGGAAAAACAGTTTCCTCAAGCCCACCATCATAGAAGCGTTTCACTGTCTGATCTGGGAACACAATTTCTTTGGTGCCACCCGGGTGGTGTTTTTCTGTAGAAAACAATATTTTTAAAGTTTATTTAGAAACTCCGTCATGTTGGTTTATATGAAACTACAGCATGTTCTTTCACAAGACATGGGGGTGAGGAACGGACTTGATAGATGGTAACCTACTAAAAATTGTAAAGAATAAATAATGATAAGCATCTAAATGGTGCTTTTACATCTGTAGATCTCAAAGCAAATATCAATTATCCACATTTTATAGATGAGGAATCCAAGGGACAGAGAGGTGAAGTGAAAAGTCCCAGTCTCCCAGAGTTAGAGTCAGGCAATTTTTTATGAGAAGATACTCCTGCAAAAGTAGTTCAAAGTTATGAGCTACCACATACCTATCTGATTGTTAGGGAACTGCAGTAACTCCAAGCCATTTGGATAAGTGGTATGGGTTGTCTGTGCATCTGCATAATAATAAATCTGCAAGGACAGTGAAGAGTTTGTATTTTGTTCCTAACATTTTAATAAAGGGATACAGTTATAACAATGTTTTAAAAAAATCTCTCATATAAAAATGATTTTGAATTAACTTAAGGTATTTGGATTACAAGTAATTATATTTATATTTCAACTCTCCTCTTTCCCTCACATATGGGATGTGTCCAGATTTTGCTGCTTTCTCCTCTACAACATACAAATAATCAATGCAGTTGCTAAAATTATCTTCCTTGCCCACTGGATCCTTCCTCTTGCTTCCCTTTGCACGCTTAATAAAGTGTAACATTCTCATCCTACCTTCAAGAACCTGCTCATTTCCACCCCAGCTCACATTACATTATTATTTCCTATTTGAAGGAAATAGTACTACACCTAGAGGAAAGGACCCAATTGCATTGGCACCCTGCAAATGTATAATAAAGAGACACTCCCTGCCCCAAGGAGCCATGTCTCACACTTTGCTTTGTATCATGGTTTCCATTTCCACCTGCTCCACCAAAGATTCCAGCATCAGTGCTCCATTTGTTCCATCTTCTACTGCTATCTTGGCTTCTTTTCACTTTTCCACTTGTCTGTGGGGTAGACTCTCTAGCCCAGTTCACCAAGCCACCCTGCTTCTCTTTCAAACCTCTACTAAAGACACTCTTCTTCTACCACGTCCACAAGACGTAGGACCTTGTAGTACTAGTCAATCTGCATAAAATATTGACGTGCTTTTTTTAAACAAAAAGAAAAGACAAGTGTTTACACACCACTCTCTGATCCGGCATGATCTTCTTTACATCTCCATTGAAAAAAGTAACCACTGTCATCCTTTTATCAGCACTGATCTCTTTCTTGGTACCATTGCGGAAAATAATGATTCGACGGCCATCAGTAAGCACCTCTTCTACCTTTAAACACACAAAATACACCTCACAAGAGAAACAAAAATGGGCCAAACACCCCTCTCAGCTCCACCAGTGCAGCCTCAGTGCAGTCAGTAATGTTGCAGTGGTGTAACTGAAATGAGAGTTTGCTGCTAAATATTTCATTAACACAGGGACTTCAGGCTATGCCACAGCCCTTCAAAGCTTATTTCTATAGCATGGGTAAGTAATGCCTACGTCACTTGTGTGCCAACAGAGGCCTAAAGATTATTTATCTCTCCCCCTCTCCTCCAAATGCGGGTTTTGGCAGGCTGGCCAGATTGCTATTTCTTCTCATTCAGTCTGAGTTTCAGAGCTCTGGCAAGCACAGTATTTCAATGAAGGACGACAATTCTGCAGCTACACAGTTGGAGTGAGCTAAGACTCCTGATTAAGACAATCTAGTTAGTCTGCACATATGTCCACACAAGTCAGAGCAAACTGAGTTCCCCACCCAAGAAACCTAGGATCTGGGTGGAGGGGACCAAAATGATCTGATCTGATAAGCTGGCATATGGTGGTGACATATGCAGATGGCAATTTTACTTCCAGACAACGTGACCCCATTAGAAGCACTTCAGCTCTATGGAAGCTAAATTTGCTGCATGCAGAGAGCCCCTGGGAAATCACCCAAGACCACTTGACAAGCAGACAGTGAACACATCACCAGTGTACTCTTTTGCAGCTGATGCGTTTGTCAGAGGAGACCTGCGGTCTAGCAGAACCTCTAATTAACCCAAGCAGACTTTGCTGGAGTCACTAGGGCAGCTACTTCTGGTCATCAGGTTGCACTGATTTACATAACACAATCCATTTAGTGAAATCCCAGTGGAGGAGGCAGTCAGAAGAGCTGTGCCTTAACTCTACCGTATGGCGCCAGTGTCATAAGCCATTCCTCATGGGAAAGGAAAGTCATGAACAGGAGAGAGGAGGAATACAAAAAATTTTGCGGGGAGGAAGAGAGGAAAGTAAGGCTTCCCAAAACAGGCATCGTAATGGATACTTGGGACAATATTTTTATTTAAATGTAATTGTATTCAAAGATGCCTGGGTAATAACTCAAAATTGTTATGAAGGACACTTTAACACGAAGTATTGTTATTCAGAGGTCCAAGTGCATTAGGGTGCCTGTTAATGTCTTGCTCCACCTTTAATGCCATCACATCCCTCTATCCCATTTCTCTAGCCCTCCCCATCCCCCACAAAAAACAAGCCCAGAACTCTTGACTTTATGAGCTGAAAGAAGTGGTGAAAATGCTTAATCTTTTCATGATTCTTTTCCTTTCCAGATGCAGAACTACAGGTCCTGCATTTGCTACTTCTGTGAGAAGGAACTGTGACAGGTATAGGCTGCCAGAGCCCATCTTAATAATAACTGTGAAGAGTTGGTGGTCTCTGGCCAGTCCCCACCAGCCAGGCAGTATCTACATCACGGAAACTCCCATTAAAACAACTGGCATTAATTGACACCCTCATTGGTAGCATTTGCAGAGAGGCCTAGGACTGAATGGACATGAGGAATGAACTAATGTCTCATGCCTTAAGCCCTGGTGTGTGCCAGAAAACTGACCCATAGCTGACAATGGGTCCCCCCTAAATTAGTGTTGAAAACAGTTTAATAGGACAAGACTGTTTGTAGCAATGTTACACAGGAGTTGGCAGGAGCCTGGGTGCAAGTCTCAACCACACTTCCTGTAATGGCATTGGAAAGAGGGCTGCCCAATCCATGCAAGCAGTTAAACACCACACCTAGGTAGCACTTTTTCATCAGTAGATGGTAGCTGTCATTATCTGCAGTTTACAAATGGGGTAACTGAGGCAGACAGGATGAGTGACTTGCCAAAGGTCACATGGTGAATCAGTGGCGGAGCTGGGAACAGAATCCAGGTGTCTGGATTCCGAGCCCGTTAGTTAATCAAATTTCCCATAACATATGGTGTGATCTTTACATTTTTGCTTTCCTGTGGAAAAGGGAAACTTCTCTTACAAAACGTTCTCTAGAGCCTGTGTAATGGTAATTCATAGCCATAGCAGGGATCCTGCTGGTCACCTCTTTTCTACCCTGACATCTGTGTAAGGTCCCTTACCTTGCCATCTGCATACTCTATTTTTTCTCGCACCTCCTCATCACTCTTTTTGCTTTCTTCATATAGTGAAGATCTTCTGGATAATGTTGATTTTGGACGAAAATTCTATGGAAACATTACAGTCCCTGTTATATTGTTACATGAACATAGAGTTTTGCTAATATTTTTGCTAATCTTAATCAACTCTGCCAAAAATATGGTAATCAGGAGAGCATTACTATGGGAGACAAGCACGGCACAGAAGGGTGAGACACAGGGCCCTGTTCTCATTTACATGGAGGCCCCTTCAGGCTGCTCTGGCTGCATAAAATGGCCTTAAGTTATATTTACACCCACGGTGTAAAGGGCCCTCAGTGTAAGTGAGAATCAGGCCCACAGTGTCCAGATCCATGCTGAACCAATATTAGCTACAATCAGGGAGTGTGCGTGCTTTGTTTTGGAGGCAGAAATCCAATGGAACAAAAAGTCTTTCTCCTGGCAGGGTAGTAACCCATTCAGGTGAGCAACACAAGAGGGAAACAGTCAACTGAAGACAGTTTAGGGTGTGAGAGTGAGCTAGCACCCAAAATCACAGAGCCCCTCAGTTCCAGCTAGCAAGGGGGTCACAAGAATATCCTGATCTGGTGTGTTCTGGTTCACCAAAGAATGTCACATGAGGTCTTAAATGAAAGCGAGGGTCACATTGGCCATTGATACCTCTGTGAAATGGATGTGAAGATACTACGTAAGGAGTTACATATCTATGCTAAAAATATGTTCTTAGATTCTGTATTACAGCAGAGGTGGAGAAACAGGTGTCCTGTCAGAAAAAAAGATATTTATTCACATATTTCTCTGTTGCAGGTAAATTAAGCATCATAAGCTAACACAATGGAAGCGCATTTACATATGAAATCAACAGGGAGACATGAAATCAACAGGAAAGAGCATACTGAAAAAGCAAGTGATGGGTTATCCCATCTCAGAGTATAGACAATCAACTTTGGAGATATAGGTAGAAGGCAAAAGGTAGCAACCTGCACCTAGGAAGTAAACAGGTAGTGTGTTTACATTCATGAAAATGGGACCTTAACAAGCCTTGACTGAAGACGCTGAAAAAGGCTTTGGGTGAGATAAACTAGACAGGAGGTTAACCTAATAGTTAAGTTTAGTCTCTAGAAAGCATGTCATGATTTTGTTTTATATATCACCCTTTTGTTCCATTATCCTTACTCACTATCTCTTGAACCTTTGATAACAAACTTCTTGTTCTCACTATACATAAAACTCAGTGATGAGGTATTAAACAAGGTGCTGATTCTGAGTTGAATCATACAAATTGGTGTGTACACTGTTCCCCTGGGGACTGCAGCCCTGATATTTTCGAGAGTGTTCAGTGGAGAAGGGGCTGGATACTACAGGGCAAATGCTTCAAAGGAGTTCAGGGACTGGGGTGCACCTACTGTTAAGCTGCAAGGCAAAGGAAGGGCTGGCACAGCCCGAGGAGAGGGCTTGGGTGGCTAACAGGCTGGAAGTATCAGGTTGCTAATACCTAGTTAAGCACAAGGAAGTCTCCCTCTCACTGGAGGCGGGGTGGGGGGTAACAAGGTGACCCACAATCCAGGAGACCCCGAGAACTGTCACAGCATTCCAGAAGCTGTGCACCCTCTCTGCAGCTCCTTAGCAATGCCTCTGCCCTCCCTGCCAAGATAAGGGCCTCCCTCACCTTTTGTATTATTCATGCTTCTTTGGTGGCATTTTCACCAGTGGTTCCCCTTCTCTCTGAATTTAACTGTCTTCCATTCCCCATTTCTTCCAAATCCAGATTTCCTAACTGTGGCCCAGAACACTTTGGGGTTTTCTCTGCTGCTTGCCAGTGTATGCCAAAATATCTTCAAAGGGCCAGAGTGCTGCTTTTGCAGCAAAGCCTTCTGGGGCACATTAGCAATGTCAGGCAATGACAGAAAACACGTACTCTGAAGACAGCTGTGGCAACAAAACCGTAGGTAAAAAAATATTTAGTTTTGCTTAAGCTTTGCACTGCAGCTATGAGCAGTCCCAAGTCTTGCAGAGAGAACAATCCGGCTTCCTACCCCCACAAGGTCATATGCATTTTCATCAGGCAACAGAAGGCAAGGCCTGAACTAACATTAACCCTGGAAAGAAATGTGATGTAGGAAAGGAGGCTGCAATGGAGGGTTCTGTTGCCCCAGGTGTATTTTATTTTGCTTGGATTGATGAAACAACATTTCAGCGCACGGATGCATGGCTGGAGCTACGGGTGTCGAAGATCAGTACGTGAGCCAGTATCTAGAATTAGCTCAAACCTTTGCTTCAGCATCCAGTAAAGCACAAAAACCTTCTGCTGCTGGTTTGCTGCCACTTGGGATTATGCTGTTTCTCCTGGAGAGTGTCACAGAGGCTGTTTGATCCCAAGGTTTAAGTGATTTTTCAGTCCTTTTAAGGCACAGATTTTCTTTCTCCTATGTCAAGATGAAAATATTAAATTGCAACATAAACCTCCTTAAGACAAATCGTTATAAAGGGTTATTTTCACAGAGAAACATACCATGGGATTTGTAAGATGTCGCTATATTGTTTTAAGTACAATCAGCACCAACAGACGGGAGGAAAAATGAAGCAGGCTGAATACTTGGCCCCATGAAGACAATGGTAATTTTGCCAATGACTTAAATGGGACTAGGATTTAGCTTGGTGTCTGTGAAAGCTGAAGTATAAATCTTGCTGGATGATTAAATATATCTATATGGATAAATATACCTGTGTTTCCTCATTGTTACTGCAGGATGCAGAGCTACAAACTTCATCGCTCTGGTTGCGAAAGAGGACTGTGTCCTCTGAACTACCTGAGGTGGATGAAAATCTGCCTACAGGGTGTGGAAAGAAAAACAGATTCAAAAGCTCAGTGCAGGCCTAGGAAAGTGCCCAGTCATACAACTGCCCCGGTGTTGTTTCAGAGTCCATTTAAAAAATACTGACTTTCAGATTCACGCAACACGTTGTTTATTGCCGCAATAATAATCATTCTCGTTGACAGCAACACTTGGTGCTGCCTCCTCCTGGAGCAAAAGAAAGAAGCTGTACACTCACCTGCAGACCACTGCTGACAGGTGGAAAGTTCCCACAAATCATAGCCATAAAAACGTAGGGCTTGCAGGAAATCTTACCTTTTATGTAAGAAGATGAGTTGGTTTCCTTAGACACAGTCAAGTGTGAGACGGGAAGTATAGGTGACTTCCTGCCATAGGTTCTTTGTTCATTATGAGATGATTGACGCATAACCTAAAACAAAATTTTAGACAAATATACAGTCCTACCATCTCTGTAACTTGGCAATTCTCAGCGTATGAATGGTCATGTGTGAACTTCTCCTGGGCTGTCAAGAAATGAAGCTTGTACCATAAATAACCAATATGGTATCTACAATTTATTTCTATTCAACTGTCTACCTCTCCCCAAACATAAGCATATTGCTTGTTATCTTAGATTGTAAACTCTTTGGGGCAGCACGTGTCATAATGGATCCATGATCCCAACCAGCGCCTCTGAGCAATATCATAATATAAACAGTAAATAATCATAACAATCAGAATAGTTGCACTATTAACTAGTTACCTTCTCTGGCTCAAATGGTGTTAATCTTCCTTGATGGGATGTTCTCCTGCCAGTGGGTGTTGTACTTCTGCTATGAAAGTGATTAGATGGTGTCTTTTCTCTGGGTTCCCTGGTTACTGATTTCAAAGACTCGGTCCTTTGCACTCGGTCCTTCATTGCCTGAAATGCATTCAATACTTTTGCATTAAATATGCACCGTCATGTTAAAAAATCACACTGAAGTCATTCTGTAAAAGTAGCAAAAATAATTTGCTTATTTCAAAAATGTTAGATTTTTTTTTAAATTTACTTTTCACTATTTTTGCTGTTTGTTTACTTTTCACGTTTCTCTCTCTGCTTGGAAAATGGAAGTGGACAAGCCACTTTCACTTTTGTTTCTAAGCAGTTTCATTTTCTGGTTCTTGTGAAGCTGGAAAAACCCTGTGAAAGGTTGCAATCACAGCAGCAGGATGTTCACATATTAAGCACTTATAGATTCATAGGGTGAAATCTGGCCCTACTGAAGTGAATGGCAAAACTCCCATTGACATCACTGTGGCCAAGATTTAACTCACAGTTTTTAAGGCCAGACGGAGCCATAACAATTGCCTTGGGTAAAATTTTTCAAAAGCCCTTATGTGACTTTGGAGCCGAAGCCTCATTTTCAAAAATGCCATAGGCATCCAGGAGCTAAAGTCCCACTGACTTTCAGTGTGACTCAGAAGCAGTGCTAGCCCATTGGAGGCCCTAAGCAGGAATATTTTGCCCGCCCCCAACACATAATAAAAAGCGAAAGGGGGCACCCTTGAGCTGCTCGGGCCCTAAACAATTGCTTAGTCTGCTTATGCCTAGCACCAGCTCTGATGTGACTTAGTCTCTTTTGAAAATGGGGATTTAGGATCCCAAGTCTCTTAGGTGCTTCTGAAAATTGAATCCCGACTCTGACCTCATACGTAACACAGACCATAGAATTTCACCCAGTAATTCCTGCATCAGCTCATAGCTTCTAGTTGAACTAGAGCATATTGTTTAGAAAGACACCAAGTCTTGAGGACAAACATCCAATCTAGGCCACCCCATTCAAAAGTGGGGAAATGACAAGCTAATAGTTCACACACGATATAAATGCTGCCCCTCTGTGTCTGTGCACATTACACAATACAGTCGTTATTCACCTGATCACATTTTACTTCACAAATAATATAATATAGAATTTTAAGGGTTTTTTCCTAAAATCTTCCTGACATCTCTATTCACGTTGCACAGTAACCTCATTTCACAAGTAACTGCCTTTTACATGTTTTTAAATTCCAAGTTAGTTCAGTGACTGGGCAGGCAAATGCGGTAATTGCTGCAGCTACTGTGGGAAGTAGCTTCCAGTCCGTCCGTGGATGTTAGAACGTATTTGTGTCTTGAGATCATTAACTGCAGAGACAGGAGGAATCTCAGTTCATCTGACTGACAAGGCACAGATTTAGACTAGGTATAAAAAAAAAGGCAGGGGAAGGATTATTATTGGGATGTTCAAATGGAGACAAAACAAAAAAGTTACAACTTGAAGCCAGGAGGAGGAAAATTCTAACTAGATATTTAGGAAAAAGTTCTTAAAAGTGAGATGCATCAGACAATGGTGTAATCCAGCCACAGAAGAGCAGTCAAAGGGCTATCAATATGAGCCCAGTGCTGCACTCATTATGGTCAAATGGGAGTTTTGCCATTGATTTGACGGGAAGTAGGATTAGGTCTGATGTGCACTAAAGAGAAATTGGGTTTCACGCTTCGGGCCAAATTCTGTGTGGTCTCTTTTGTAATTATGCAATGCCTGAAACAGTGAAAATACTGGATTTCAGCTTTAGAGACAAGGCTGCAGAGAGCTCATGAAAGGAGACCTCACAGCCTCCCGTGTGCCATGGTGCAATTCTTTAGTGTCTCTCTCTTCAGGGCCAAAGAGTCAGGGAGGGTTTGGGGAAGGGGAAGCTGGAAGAGTGGGTGGGGCAAGACTACTAGATCCTCACACTGTGCAAATACAAGGGCCAAAACCATGCATTGGGGCAGGGGCACAGTACGCTGTGATAACTACAAAGAGGCAATTCAGTTATGCTTAAAATAGGAGACAGATGATTGTCTCACACCAGTATGGAGTTAGGAAGAGTGCAAGGAAAACTTTACTACTGAGTCATAACAGGGGGCCATGTAGAAAAGGTGACCCCACATATCTGGACACTTTGATTTACATACATTTTGGTCCCAGAAATCATTTTCTAAAATAAGTCTCATGTTAAACTGTGGAAATGTGCCTGTTTGCAATAAGGACCCGAGTTTTGTCCATACTTTCATATTCACATCTCTGGGGGGGTGTTTCTCCACTGGCGTTTTCCTCCCCACCGGAGTGGTGCTGCGACTCTTCTGGCTACCTCGCAATGGCCTTTCTTCTAGGTTAGCCAGAGATGATGTCCCTCTCAAAATAGCTTCTGAAACCTAATGGAGAATTTATGATAAACAAAGCAATGGTTTAGCCGTCACATCTAACAGAACCAGTCACTTCATCTTGTACCTGGTGAAAAAACTCAAATCAAACCTTCACATTGGCTGAGGTAACAAGGCAATATGACATAAATACACAGCTAGCGACTATTCAGTCAGCTAGACCACAGGAGGGTGGGCAGAAGCAGGTGGCACCTGTTTCCCCCCAAGCAAAGAGATCAATATGGCATGGAAATCCCTCACTAGGTGCCTGGAGTTGGAAAACTTAATGGCTCTGATAGGAGATAAAACACAATCACCCTAAGTTTACACACACAGGACTAGATCCCCAGTCTGGTCAAGTTATGCTTCTTTGAGCCTGGGGCTAGCCAGGGACAGGATGGTCCCCAGCATAAGTTACAGCAGCCTCAGGGTCATGTCCCATATACAGCGCCCTTATGCCACCTGAGGATTCTCCAGCCCAGAGGGAATCTTCAGAGGCTGAAAGCCCAGGCTTTATGGCTCTTTTGCACCACCAGAGCAGGCCAACGCAGGTGGAGTGGGGGCCAGAATCTAGACCAAAATGTCCAGTGTATTTTGCCTTCCCTAGCTCTTGCTTTGCTTGGGATTGTTATACAGTTTTGCTCCGTACTGGTGTCCTTTATGTTGCATACAGCACAGCTGGAATCATCTTTGTGTGTGACCTTCACTATGCATAAGAAGAAGCGTCATCAGAAGTAACAGGCAGATTTCAGTCAAGTTAAAAATCAAAATTAAATTTGAATATGGGATTACATTTTCTGAAGTAGCCTAAGGGAGTTAGGGGCTTAATTTTCATTAATGCTATATTAAAATTACATTAAAATATATAAAGATTATTTACCATTTCCCTTACTTTTTCAAGTGAAATTGGTGGTTCCAGGCACCTTGTAAAGAAGAATAGAGTTACTGTCATTTACAAAGGGAAGGATGGCCCAGTGGTTAGGGTACTAGCCTATGACTGGTTATGTCCCTGAGAATAATTGGCTAAGAGGGAGAGAGGAGTATGCACATGCACTCCTGAATCTGAAGAAATCTCAAAGCTTTGAATTGCTCTGACATTGGTATACCAGACACTTCCACTGCTCAGACAACCACCCACAGACAACAGATCCTTCAGTACCGGGGTTTCTGATTTTCTGCTTATGAAATCCACAGCTCCAGATTTCTTTTCTGCTTCCAGCCTCTGATGCTCTGAAACTCTGAGCTCATCTCGAAGCTCCAGGTTCTGTTTGGTCAGCATCTCAATCTGATTTTTTAGCTTGCCATGGGCAGCCTGCCAGCGGGACTCATTTCTCCTGAACTCCTCCTGGAGCCCTGCAATCTGCTGTTTTAACATCTGTTATTAGAGAAAGGCATATAACATTAGTGCACCAGTCCAGACGAGGAAAGCGCATCTCATGCATTTGGAAAGATGCATGAAATCTGTTGTTTTGCTTAAAGCTTCATTGAAAATTTTCATTATGACATAAACGCACACAAAACAAAATCACACAAGATCTACCAAAATACACAGCAATAAACAAAATAGACAACAACAAAAAATCCATGCTGCAGAAGAGCCAGAGAAAAGGAGCCTAAGAAAAAGGAGTAGCTATTAGCCCCCTACAGTATTTAAGGTGTACTGACAAGCATCTACAGCAGTGAGATATTCAGCCAACAACGGATGATTTTAGAAATGCTGAACACCCACTGTAAATGAAGTCAGTTGAAGTTGCAGGAGATCAATGCCTTTCAAAATCAGGTCCTAACATTCCAACCATCAAGGAGCATCTCGCTGTGTTTACATAAAAAAAAAAAAAAGAAAGATTTTCTTTAAGTGGCTTGGACTGATGGAACAATCTGACTGATTCAGGTTCTGATCCTAATGAGTCTAGCACATCCACAACTCTTGCTGACGTCAATGACAACTCAAGCCTGGATGTCTTTCTAAAACACATGCTGAGCTCAAACAGAAGTTATGGGCTTGATGCAGAGATTAGTAGATGACATGAGGTTCTTGGGCCTGTGTTATGCAGGAGGTCAGCCTAAATGATCATAATGGTTCCTTCTGATCCTAAAATAAAAATCTATGAATCTATGACCAAGCCATTTTAGAAACACATTTAAGCATATGTCTCCTTAGACATGCACTGCCCCTTTATTAACCCTGCACCTTTAAATGTAAAGGAGTGGATGAGCAAAGATCTCAAGCCTTTCCTTTGCTCAGGGAGAAGTACACCTAAGGCTTAATTGTAATCTGTCATTTTGACAAATAGGGAGGAACTGATTGAGAATTTGAAAGTGGAAGGCAGCTTGGGTGAAAGTGATCATGAAATGATAGAGTTCATCATGATTCTAAGGAATGGTAGGAGGGAGAACAGCAAAATAAAGACAATGGATTTCAAGAAGGCAGACTTCAGCAAAATCAGGGAGTTGGTAGGTAAGATCCCATGGGAAGCAAGTCTAAGGGGAAAAACACTAAAAGACAGTTTGCAGTTTTTCAAAGAGACATTATTAAGGGCACAAGAGAAAACGATCCCACTGCGTAGGAAAGATAGGAAGTATGGCAATAGATCACCCTGGCTTAACCAGGAGATCTTCAATGTTCTTAAAATAAATAAAGAGCCCTACAAAAATTGGAAACTAGGTCAAATTACAAATGATGAATGTAAAGAAATAACACAAGTATGCAGGGACAAAATTAGAAAGGTCAAAGCACAAAACAAGATCAAACTAGCTGGAGACATAAAGGGTAACAAGAAAATATTCTGCAAATACACTAGAAGGAAGAGGAAGACCAAGGACAGGGTAGGCCTGTTACTCGATTCAGGGTGTGGGGGGGAAATAACAACAGAAAATATGGAAATGGCAGAGGTGCTTAATGTCTTATTTGTTTCAGTTTTCACCAAGAAGGTTGGTGGTGATTGGACGTCCAACATAGTGAATGCCAGTGAAAATGAGGTAGGATCAGAAAAGGCTAAAATAGGGAAAGAACAAGTTAAAAATTACTTGGACAAATTAGATGTCCTCAAGTCACCAGGCCCTAATGAAATGCATCCTAAAATACTCAAGGAGCTGACTGAGGAGATATCTGAGCCATTAGCGATTATTTTTGAAAAGTCGTGGAAGACGGGAGAGATTCCAGAAGAATGGAAAAGGGCAAATATAGTGCCAATCTATAAAAAGGGAAATAAGAACAACCCAGGGAATTACAGACCAGTCATCTTAACTTCTATACTCAGAAAGATAATGGAGCAAATAATTAAGCAAACATCTAGAAGATAATAAGGTGGTAAGTAACGATCAGCATGGATCTGTAAAAAACAAATCATGTCAAACCAACCAGATAGCTTTCTTTGACAGGGTAACAAGCCTTGTGGATGGGGGGAAGCGGTAGACATGGTATATCTTTACTTTAGTAAAGCTTTTGATACTGTCTCGCATGACCCTCTCATAAACAAACTAGGGAAATGCAACTTAGATGAAGTTACTATAAGGTGGGTGCAAAACTTGTTGGAAAACTGTTCCCAAAGATTTCAGAGTAACAGCCGTGTTAGTCTGTATTCGCAAAAAGAAAAGGAGTACTTGTGGCACCTTAGAGACTAACCAATTTATTTGAGCATGAGCTTTTGTGAGCTACAGCTCACTTCACCGATGAAGTGAGCTGTAGCTCACGAAAGCTCATGCTCAAATAAATTGGTTAGTCTCTAAGGTGCCACAAGTACTCCTTTTCTTTTTGTTCCCAAAGAGTAGTTACCCGTGGTTCATAGTCATGCTGGAAGGGTACAATGAGAGGGGACCCACAGGGATCAGTTCTGGGTCCGGTTCTGTTCAATATCTTCATCAATGATTTAGATAATGGCATCCAGAATACACTTATAAAGTTTGTGCACGATAACAAGCTGAGAGGGGTTGCAAGTGCTTTGGAGGCTAGAATTATAATCAGGGGTGAAAGTAAGTCGAGTGATTTACCGTTATGCTGGGGCCAGCTCTGGCCCCCGGAAGGGGCGGGGCCTAGGGCAGAAGGGGTGGGGCTGATGGGGTCAGAGCCAGCCCCAGCCCACCCTGTAAGGTAAGTGCCGCCCGTCCTTCTCCTCCTCCTCCTACACCCCTCCCCCACCAGGGTAGCAGCGGCAGCTTCTGGGGCTATTTAAAGGGCCCGGGGCTCCTCTGCTTCTACCGCCCCTTCCTTTAATTAGCCGCCAGACCCCTGGGGAAGCGGCGGGGCTCCAGCGGCTATTTAAAGGACCGGGGCAGCAGAGGCAGCTGGGGCCCTGGCCCTTTAAATAGCCCCTGGACCCCCGCTACCCCTGGGCTCTGGGGGCTATTTAAAGGGCCTGCGGCTCCCCTGCTTCTACTGCCCCGGTCCTTTAAATAGCCCCTGGAGCCCTGGAGTAGCGGTGGCAGGGCTCCGGTGGCTATTTAAAGGACTGGGGCGGTAGAAGCAGGGGAGCCGCGGGCCCTTTAAATAGCCGTCAGAGCCCCGCAGCCGCTACCCCAGGGCTCCGGCAGCGGAGCTCTGGAGGCCATTTAAAGGGCCTGGGGCTCCGGCCACTGCTGGGAGCCCCAGGCCCTTTAAATTGCCCTCTGGGGAAGCTGGGCTGCCCCACTACGGTGCACCGGCTCTTGCCGGTACACCGTACCGGGGCATTATAGTAGGGGGTTATAGTGTACCACTATAATCTGGGGTTATAGTGGACCACAAACTAAACATGAGTCGACAGTGTCACGCTGTTGCAAAAAAAGCAAACATCGTTCTGGGATGTATTAGCAGGAGTGTTGTAAACAAGACACGAGAAGTAATTCTTCCCCTCTACTCTGCGCTGATTAGGCCTCAACTGGAGTACTGTGTCCAGTTCTGGGCGCCACATTTCAGGAAGGATGTGCACAAATTGGAGAGAGTCCACAGCTGAGAGGGGTTGCAAGTGCTTTGGAGGCTAGGATTATAATCAGGGGTGAAAGTAGCAACAAAAATGATTAAAGGTCTAGAAAACATGACCTATGAGGGAAGATTGAAAACAATGGGTTTGTTTAGTCTGGAAAAGAAAAGACTGAGAGGGGACAGTCTTGATAACAGTTTTCAAGTATGTAAAAGGTTGTTACAAGGAGGAAGAAGAAAAATTGTTCTTCTTAACCTCTGAGGATAGGACAAGAAGCAATGGGCTAAAAGTGCACCAAGGGAGGTTTAAGTTGGACATTGGGAAAAACTTCCTAACTGTCAGGGTGCTTAAGAACTGGAATAAATTGCCTAGGCAGGTTGTGGAGTCTCCATCATTGGAGATTTTTAAGAGCAGGTTAGACAAGCTCCTGCTGGGGATGGTCTAGATAATATTTAGTCCTGCCACGAGTGCAGAGGACTGGATTAGATGACCTCTCGAGGACCCTTCCAGTTCTATGATCCTATGATTTTTGCTTGCATTAAGTGGTTTTGCATTCATTCTTTGTGTATTTCCAGACAAACTGAACTGTATATTTTAAATCCTTGACCCTTTAGAACAAAACCCTGCAAACCCCAACCCCCAACATTAGCAAAAGCAATGAGGAAAAGCAGCAGTTTTCCCATCCTCCCTCTCCTGTCTGTTCATCCTCTGCCTCCTTTCTTCCTTCAAGCACATAATTCTTTCTTCTTCTGCAACTTCACCATGAATAGCACATTGTCGGGTAGTGAAATTGTGATTTACCGCTTAATCTGCCAAACGTGGGACACTACTCCAAACTGAGGTGGACATAAGAAAACTATTTATTTATATATTTATGCACCCACCATTATGGCACTGGGGCACTTGATGTACATTGACAGGCTTGATCCTGCCCAAGGGCAGGTGTGTATTGTTGCTTGTATAAAAGCAGAAGGTGAAAAGTGATGAGCAGGCAAAGACAGCAGGGGTACCTGATCTTGCAAGAATGAGTGATGTTGTGTGTCCGCTACATTACTAATGTAAGGCATTTGACTTAATCTTGCGTGCAGTGTTGTTGTGGCCATGCTGGTCCCAGGATAGTGGCGAGACGAGATGGGTGAGGTAATATCTTTAGTGGAGAAGTTGGACAATCTTGAGAAGGTGGTCCAATAAAATATATTACCTCAACCACCTTGTGTCTCTTAATCCTGCAGGATCTTGTAATTGAAAAGATAGCACTATATAAAATCAATCTGTAGTCAATGAGGAAGTGGGTGGGTGTGGGTGGGAGGGGGTGGGTGTGTGGGTGGGTGGGGGAGATGGGAACAGGGAATGGGGGTAAGAAAATTGGAATCATGTTTTGCTAAAGGGGGAAATGGGAACAGGGAATGGGAGTAAGGAAGTTGGAATCATGTTTGGCTAAGGATAGGAATGGGAACAGGGACACAGGTGTAAGGCT